TTCCTGAGAAAGGCAGATTTGGGAGAAGGGGCAAAGGGGACAAGAGTCAGAAGAGGACTAAAGCCCATTAATTTCCATGGCTCTTCATAGCCAGGAAGTAATAATGTTTTGATAACATCCTAAGCTGATACTTACTCTTCGTATTTGCTTTTAAGGAGAGATTTCACTAAAGGCAAAAGATCTACACAGCAGCCAATTGAAACATATGGTTTTTCTTCCTGTAAACTTAAAAAACAAGATGTTTCAGAAGCGCTTGAACTTCAACGTGGTTATAGCAGATTCTAATCCCCCACTTTTTTTTCGTTTGTACCTGTTTGTAAGCACAGGAAGGCAGTCTACTACTACTCCGAGATCCTGTATCCTAGAAACATTAAGAATAAAATGTTACTAGTAGAGCTTAGGTTGAAACATACGCTTGCACTAAGAGTAGATCTAACAAAGTTACATTTAAGGAACTGCTAAAAAAACTGCAGAGTATTTGGGATTGCTATCATTTTAAGAATAAAAAAGAGACACTTATTTTACCTCACTAAGTAGGCTACCAGTTCACTTATACTTCTCCTTCTCCAAAAGGTTAAAGCTACGTTCAGTCTCAGATTCCTGCTAAAAAGAACTTGAGCCATAGTTTCATGGTCCTGAGAAACCTGTATGGTTTTGAAAATATAAAACAAGTTTGTCACAAGCTGAGTAGCCAGCAATAACACAATAAGCTGCTCTAATATAGTAATCTGGTATATGAAAATATACTTTTCTACCTGTAAGCCAATGAGTTTGTTTTAGAAGTTTAGCTAACAATGGCCTTAAAACCAAAAATTCCCCTTAGAAGGGAGCTATAAAGGACTAAATATACTTTACCCAAGAGCTGCAAGAGTAAGTTTTGTACCTATTTGCTACCTAAAGAGAGGTATCTGATAATAAAATAGAGCATCATGAGCATTAACCTATAATTCTCACCAACTCTGAGAACCTTTTATTTAGATGATTATTAATTTTGACACAATTCAGACACAAGTAATTGCACGTATTATTTTGAACTCTGATTAAAAGGGTTAATTTCTGAAAGCTTGTTTGATGAATGAAGTTCAGGTATTTTAATTAAATAGACCTTGGATTGGAATAAGCAGAGCCATACACATCCCTCAAACCAATCAGCCATCTGTGGCCAGTGATCTGGTCCTTAGTTTCTCAGAGCATGAGTCTTCATTTCTTTACCCTTCTTTCCACAACCTATTTGTTCTGGCTATTCTGCTGCTCCTTTTCCAAAACCATCAAATTAAACACTGCAGGAGTGCCAGAGACTTGTGCCTCCAGCCTACTGGACTCTCAGCTCTCCATGTCTTCATGGCAGCCCACACTTACAGTACCACAAAAAGATAGCATGGCAATAACCCTTGACTTTATCTTCCATGCCATGCCCCACTTTAAACACATGCAGGCCTCAATAAGTAACAAACATTTGTTGTGACAGAATTGGAAACTTCAACATTAAGGGACTTAAATGGCCTTCAGTGTCAAAAAGCCCATTTTATTTAAACACCTGACCATTTAGCCAGTTTCAGAAGCCCTGCAAGAATTCACTAGGTTTCCTCAAGAAATCTTAACAAGAAATACAGCCTTATCAAATACATTAAGTTTCACACACACTCTAAGATGACACTGCTATTGAAAGTTGTCTTAACCTATCTCACCAGTTTATTCCCACTGATACACTAACACTTTGGCATTTCTATAAACATGCATGGCCATGTGTCCCGCCAGCTCATGAAACCTAACCAGGTCAAAACAATGTTTTCTTTGGTGCTGGTACAATTTTAACCCAATCTGGTCTGGCAGATCTGAGTTCTGAGCTGACACAAACGTGGGGAAAACTGGCGGGACTATTACTGTTGAGAACTGTATCACCATGAACTGACAGACACTAAATCACAAAACCTGGTATTTAAAGAAAATTAAACTACTCGAAAACTTTCACATCTAAACTACTAGGAATGCTTTTATTTTAAACTAAAATTTCTTCAAACTCTACTTACCTCTGAAAAAAATCCACTGTATTTGGATGAAGGGCCTTCTGTTTGAGATGAGCCAGAGTCACTAGAATTCAGTAAGTGTGTACGACTGCTATGCAGTTTTGCTGGCAGATTTCCTGCACAAGCCAGTTCATTTTCTTTATTTGCCATGTCACAGCCCCTTGATTTAGGGCACAGTTTCTTTCTGTAACAAGGCCTTGGAGTATAACAATGAACTTTTCTTTTACAGTATACCACTTTGAAAAGAGAGATGGGACTGGCCACTGGTTTTCCAACCGTTATTCTGCAATAATAAAGCAGTATTTTAGTGATGCTGCTCTAAACCTAATCAATACTTTGTATTAGTAAGTTAAAATATATCATTATGAATTTGGCAGTCAACTTGCAGGCTATTAAAAAAATTTTTCCCCCCAAGATATACCTTTGTGACATTTGTATTATCAGAAGTAATACCACTAATATTCTTCTCTGCTTTTATTCATGAAAAGACTCATTATTATGGAAGGGAACGCAAGAACCAAGTACTGTCAGTAAAATCTAGACCCATCTTCCATTTGTGTCTGCTTCTGTGTTGTAATTGATTTCAACTGCTTCTTCCTCCCTACCACCCTCTCACACAAAACTCAGGTTCCACAACAGCACAGATCTCCTACCTCTTTGTGTACGAAGCCAGCTGTTTTGGAGATTTCTTACCCTGAGAGAAAGGAAACAGAGAAGAAAAAAAAGCTGTATTACTAAAAAGGCTCAAGTACTCCCCTAGTTTGTTAAAAAGAAATCCTGCTTTACCATGGTATCTACCACAGATTCCCTCCCTTACCCACACTCTTCCTATTCTGCAACTTAGTCACAGGTTGATTAACCTTCCTATAATCTTCATGGTGGCCTAGAGATGGACTAGCTCTGCCACAGCTGTACTCAGAGCACTGGCTTGGGTGATACAGAATCAAAGAATCCTGTCTTTGGCAACAGACAGGATTCTTTAGTTACTAACAAGCCAAAACCTGTGACTAATACCAAAAGCCTACTGGAATCTGATTACATAGTTGCATTACTTTTGTCTCACACATACATTTAAAGGCCCACAATATAGCAGATGCCAGTACTGGGGGAGACAACAGCAGAACACTTCCCACCAAAAACATCATCAAAATAAAAAAAGAGACTGCTGTAGACAGCATCAGCTTGATTATCCTGAATTCATTCATGTGAAAGAGATTAACACCCTGACACCAATTAAGCTGCATAGAACAGTGCTATTCTAGAGGAATCAAAAAATTCATTCAAGGTTGTGCCACACAGATTAGCAAAACCTTTGAAAATTAAGCAACACAATTTGAAGATGAATTTCTAAAGAATTTTTTTATACAGTGCTTTTCAATGTTTTAAAACCTCATGTAATGCATGCTGAATTGTGACATTCTGATCTGTTTGTTTTTTTCCTATTGGTACACAAAGTATTAAAAACAAAAAAAAGCACTAAGGTGGTCAAGTTAAAGATATGTATTTTCATATAAGCAGATACTACGCTCATATTCTGCAGGCATTTCAACTTGAAAATTTATACTACTTAATATTAATGGTAATATTTACATTGTGCATTTCAGCAAAACAATGCTATGATCGTTTTTGTTAACATTGAGTCATAAAATCATGTGAGTTTTAATACATTATTTCAATAAGCAAACAGACACAGAGGATGTTGGCATCTTTACCACTGTTTGAAGAGATCTTACAGTAAGTATACCTCCCTAGTGCCTCTTCTATACTCCACTGCCTTACTCTTCAGCCAGTAACACAGGTAAGAGGTTACGAGAAACTGTTTTTGACTAGCAAGAATCCAGTGAAAATATGTTACCAGACAATGTGGCAGATCAAGCTGTATGATAATAAGGAGACAGATCCATTTCAATGCAGGTATTTCACCTTCTCCAACTCTCATCTGTGCTATGTAGCTCTCTTGGCAAGAAATAACATTTTGATGATACAGCTCCTGTATTAAAATGGTTCTTGGCTAGACTGCAGAAAAGCAGGCAGGGTAAAACTCCATCAGCACCTACTGCTCACATGGATGATACGATGCACTTATCTGTGCAGCGACTGCCTGTGGCTATTATAATGCATAGTTTTCATAACTGCTTTCAAAATAAAGTTGTATCGCACATCTAAACATGAAATGTCTAGTAGTGCTATCGTTCTAGTTTTAGACTGCTCAGAACTATGAACTTGTTTGAATGTTTACTTCTGTTTTGTCAGAAGACCTAAACCCAACAAACAACAGAAACAGCTTACCTCCTTCATGATCTCTTTAGTGGAAGAAGAGATTCTTTTTCTGGGGAGATCAATGGGACGACCTTCGATTTGCAATACTTTCTGTTTTCTACCATTGTGAGCTTCAGATGCCATAATATCTCAAATCCCTGCTCTCAAGGAAAAGATATTTTGTTATATTTTCTAAAATATTCAATTTTAGAAAATGCAGCTGGAATAAACAGTTAAAAGAGCAACTATTTGCAAGATCTGCCATCATATAAATAATCCAAGACATCATCCTTTAGCTAATGTTAGCTGGAGGCCTTATTAGTTACACACTGATGAGCAGTGAAAAAACCACATTTAGCTTTCCAAAAAAAAAAAAAAAGAAAACAGGGAAACAAAACCAAAATCACCCCAAGAAATAGGAGTCAGAAATCTTGTTTTCAGGCCAGCTTAGTACACCTGCACTGAGTGGTGCCAAACAAACAAGAATTAAAGTAAAAGGCAATTTATGAGACTCTTTCCTCACACTATGAAATTCATCTGCTGTCTAGAGAGAAATAATTAGTCCCACAACTGTTTCCAAGTGAGAAAGGCAGCTAAAACAATAATTCCTGTTTTTCAGGAAGAAGGCAAACTTCATCAAAATAACAAAGGTTAAAAAAATGAAAGTGAAAAATCATCCCAGTAATTTATCAGCAAATGCACCCCCACCCATTTTTTCAACATATAACTTTGGCTATTTTTCATATTGAAAAACCAAACTTTTCTATGTCAGAAGTACGCTGCCTTGAAGTATGCAAATAGATCTAAAAGAATCAACACCAAGTCTGAGACACCTGTACATATGATTTTGTATTTTTTGGAAGTGATCAGAAAATCCATTACTTGAGACTGGATTGAAGAACTACATTGTCATGGAGCATTATTCTTAAAATGTTTTAGCAAGACATCCTACTTTTAAAACTATTTTATGCTACTTTTAAAAGACAACCACCTGCTCTAATATTATTGCTTTTAACCCTGACAGGTGAAATTCTAGTCCCAACATGAATGCTCCAATCTCTTCCATCCACCTTTAGCACTAACAGTCCTATCCCTTTTCCACTATGTAGCAGATTTATCCCACATTAAGAACTTCAGTATTTAAAATGCTAAGACACTGAGCACTGAAAAAGCCAGATGGGCAACAGCTTATTAGCCACAAAAATCCTTCCACGCAGCAGCTAAAGGCCATCAAGGAAAAAAAGCAGGTGGCAGGCTCAAAACAATATAGAACCTGTATCCTAAACATAATGCATATTAGAATCCATACTGTAGAATACAGTAGAAGCAAAAAAAAAGCAATTCTTCAAATGCTTTAGTTTTCTTTAGAACAGGATCAGTACTAAAGAATCTCAAATGAGGTCTCTCTCTCTCAAGAAAGGGAAGATTTCCCAACAGAATCCCTTACCCCATAAGATGGGAACAACAAGGAGCCCTCAGACTACAGCAGGCATTGCAAATAGCATTATTATTTAGGGCAAGACCTATAACAGTTGGTAGCCAATACAATACAGATATAAGACTGGCTTAAGGCTGGTTCATTAACTTGACTCTTTTCCTCCCCACTACAGGATGGTGCAGAACAGTTATCACCCTGTGACTTTTCCACACTTCCGTTCCCTAGCTCTTTTACACCTGGCCCATAATTAAATAGTAAAAGGGTTTTTTTTTCCATGCCCCTGAAGTTTAACAAAAATTCCCACAAAACCAAACAACTTCTCAGACTAGTTAAAACCATTATTTGGACTCAAAATAGGCTGTATATTAAAATTTGAACTTGGACCACTACACAAAGGCTTGTAACTGAACTTCTGAAGAAAAGCCCAATGCAACAACCCTAAAATCCAAACAAATCCAGCCTTATATTCAGGCTAACCATGAAGGCAGAAAGGTAGAAGGACTCAGAAAAAGCTTGATTTTTTTTAAATCCCAATTGAGAATATTGCTGAAGGAAAAGCAATAAACTCCAAATGGATAGGAAGGAGCTAAACCCCACAGAACCATCTCATCAGGTGTTAAAAAGATCCTTAATCTCTGTTCCTGAACAATCATTTTTCTGACTGTTCCCATAACATGCTACCAGCATACAATTTTCCATTCTGAACAGTGACCTCTCCTTACCTGCTTGTATAATAAATGGTTTCAATCTACCCTCCTCTTTCACACTAAGCAGTAAGCAAGAATCTGATCGCCAGCATAAAAGGCAGCACTGTTAAACTAGAATGTTTTTTACTTACTAGAAGTGTAAAATACCAGAAGGCTAGAAAGAAATATCTTACCAAGGAAACTCAATTAGCATATCAGTGTTTAATATTGGGCTCTAAAAAGCCTAAGATAACATCTCAAAATACCTGAACTGGAGGTATCTGAACTGGAGAGATTACCCTGAAGGAAGGAGGTTTCCTACAAAATGTTGCCTGTGTCTAAGGGAACAATTAAGAGAATTACACATCTTGACAAATCCGATGAGAACATATCACATCCCCCAGCCTCCCAGCTGAAACAGGAAGAGACAACAGAACTATCAATTCTTTCCTTAAAGACTGTAACAAACCCAAAAGGACAACACACGATCAGATATAATGGAACAGCTGGAGAATTAAAGTAAAATCTTTATGTATGTGTTCACTGTCCTACAGTTTAGAGATGTTTCTATATTTAACCTGTTCTGTGAGGGTCTTAGATTATGCAGAAGCAGCAGTGAACATATAAGCAGTGTAACATATAAGTTGTGTCATTAGTTGAGGTGCAGAACCTCTTCACTGGAGCTGATAAAGCACCTAAAGAAATCACATGTTAAAAACACAGTCAGTTTTTAAAGACAGCCTCAAGTGAGATCCAGACTGACATCTTTGTTGTGTTAATTAGTAAACAATGTAATCAAGAACAGAATTAGTGGACACAAACAAATAATACATTGGGAAAGATTCGACTTGGCTGTCATGAAGGCAACACAGCCTGGAGAAGAGAAGACCTATTGTGGCCTTCCAGTTCCTGAAGGGTGCTACAAGAGAGCTGGAGAGGGACTTTTACCCAAGGGCACATAGGGACTGGAGACAAGGGGTAATGGCTTCAAACTGAAAGAGGGTAGGTTTAGATTGGATACTAGGACAAAATTCTTTACTATGAGGATGGTGAGACTCTGGAATAGGTTTCCCAGAGAAGTGGCAGATGCCCCATCCCTGGAATTGTTTGAGGCCAGACTGGATGGGGCTTTGAGTAACCTGTCTAGTGGGAGGTGTCCCTGCCTAAAGCAGAAGGATTTGAACTAGGTGATCTTTAAGGTCCCTTCTAACCCAAATAATTCTATGATTCTATGAAGCCCTGCCCTGCAAAATTAATGGAATTTATTAAGGGTACGTGATAGTACAACACAGACAAAGGTCAGATAAATGATAAGAGTGTACTTGAGCTTCCAAAAAGTTTCCAGAAGTCCCTCACTTAAATCTTGAGGAAACATAATCAACTAAGTCATACGAGGGAAAGCTTTTGCATGGAGAAATACCTATGAAACAGCCATGAACTGTCTAAGTGGTTTCCACACTGCAGAAAGTCACCACTAGATCTCTGCAGAAAATCTGCATTGGCTTATGCTGTTCAAAATATTCCTAAATTACCTCATGAAGGGGATGAATAGTTAGATGACGAAGACTGATGACAATACAAAGTCACACCAGACTGTGAAGGTGAGGGCTAACTGAAGGTGAAGAATTAGAGAAGGACTGTGATCTACAATAAGCAGAAGCAATGATTAGAGATTAATACAAAACAAAGCCTGTGTGTCTGCAGGCATGGGGAAATTCTGGGTTCCTCTACAGAATCATAGGCTCTGAGCTAATAAATGCCACCCACAACAAGATCTGGATATATGACAGTTTACTTTAGATCATTTGGACTGCTTGGTGATCTGTATGGATCAATAATAGTTACGAAAATAAACAGAACACTGTTGTGACAGCGTATACAAGTAATCTGTGCCCATATTTCAAATACGGACTGCAGGTTTAGTTCTCTTCCCTTAAAAAAACCCAAAACAACAAGCAACCTCGAGAAAGTAAAAAAACTTCTAAGTAAAAGAGAGCTCAAAGGCAAGCTAAAAAAGGTATGGAATATCTTCCATACAATAAACAACTGAACAGATCAGCCTTTTTAGTCTAGAGAGGAGGCTACTTATAGCTGAGAGGAGAGAAATAAGACAAAGGCCTACAAAATGAATGGACTGGAGAAGTTGCACAAAGATTGTTCACTGTCTTGCCCAATGTAAGAATTAAAGGTCAAAAGAAAATAGCTGAAGATGGTAATAAACTAATAAACTAGTAACTAATAAAAGCTGGTAGCTTTCTGTACAAATTATCAAACTGAACTTGCCAGAGGATATTGTGGACCCAAATGTTTACATGGGTTCCAGGATAGACTGTGTGAATTCATAAAAAATAAAACAAAGAAGAGAGACTGAAAGTGATTAAGATACACAATCCACGTAGTCCAGACAGAGAACACAAGCAGCAGAATCTGGCACAAACACACTTAACTAATAAACTTAGTCATCATCTTAAGAAACCAGTTTCCAAAGGCTTAGTAACACCTACCAAAATGCTAGCTGGCCAGCAATTAAAAAAGTCAAATGCTACAGAATAAAAGGTACTTTACAGGGCTCTTTACAACCTTAATTTCCTACCTGCTATCAGATACAATCTAGGAATAGCTAATTAGACACTACCACTATACTGGGATATATAGAAAGGGTTTTTAATCTTGCATTAGATACTAATTTATACAGAGTCAAACAACCTATACCTTAACATCTTGAATTTTTGACTATTCCCTTGTGAAGAGCACAGTCAGTTGTTTTTGTTCAGGACAATCTGTTATACAATCTCATTAAAGCAAATGCAACCCCATTGCTTTACAAATTTTTTTGAAATAAACTAAGGACAGAATGTCTGTCCCTTCAGCTCTGCCTTAGTCCATCATAAAATCATACACTGTTTTACAACTGTAACACAGTAGACTGCAAACATGAACAGAGAAGTACAATTTCATTAAGATAGGCTCAAATTCCACCAATTTCCTGTCCCATGGATGACTTCTCCCCGCAGATGACAATCTTCCCTTTTATTCTCCTCAATTTTC